AATTATATCTTTTTTTTTCTAAACATAATTATATCCTTAATCTATATCTTAAGAATATAGTAAGTTAAATAAAGCCCTATTTTTAAAGGTTTTTCTAAGTGACAAATTAATGGTATATTTATTATACTTTTTTAAATTTATATGAAAAATTATGAAATTAAATTTTATTTTTAGCACCAATACCATATAAAATATTTTAATTTGATGATTGATAAAATTGTTGTAACCTAATTTGCCCAATCCATTTTAATATTTCTCAAACAAAAAAGAGAGAAAAAATGAAAAAAATCTTGATTTAATATAATCCAAACTTTACAATACTTTTTTTTAAATGTTATCAATTTTTTCAAAAAAAAAAAATATTCAATTTTATGAGAGTGTTTAATTGACCCAACGATTAAAGCAAAAAATGAGATAATGCTTTAGATTCAGAAGACTCAACCTACAAAGAGAAGAATTATTACTTCTTCCATTTGTTTTCAGTAGTCTAGTTTGATCTTTTTACTCTTTGGATTTGAATTTTAAAAGAAAATTTAATATATTATATAAATAAAAGTTGAAAATTGTTTTTATCAAATAAAAATATTTAACAAGAACTTCATACAAAAAAATTCAATTATTGTTCATATAAACTATTAAATTTTCATCAAAAATTTATATTTAAAAAGTTAAAAAGTCAAATTAAGATTACTAAAAATAAATGAAGGGAATATATGGGAGAGGATAATTCTCAATATTACGAGATTTAAATTATACTGTTTGATATAATTCAAATTACTTACATAATATTTTTTTCTCCTCTTTATATTCTACTAAAATGTTATCAGTTTGACGAGAGTGTTAATTGACCCAACAATAATTAAATTAGAAAATAAATTAACGCTTCAGATTCATAAGACCTGGCCTGCAAAAAGAAGAATTATTATTATTTGCGAGAGGACAATCCTTATTGCGAGATTCAAATTATGTAGTTTGATTTGGGATAGTTTAGATTACACAATATTTCTTTTTCCTTCTATATACTACTAAATGTTGTCCTTTTTTTAAAAAAAAAAAAGTTATTAGTTTTACGAGAGTGTTTAATTGACCTAACAATTTAAAGTAAAAAACAAGCTAATGCTTCAAATTCAAAAGACAAGACATATAAAGAGAAGAATTATTATTTTGTCAATTCATTTTTAATAGTCTTAATTCATCTTTTTAATTTTTTAGACATAAATTTTAGATTAAAATTTAACACATTATATAAACAATAATTAAAATTTTTTTGATTAAATAAAAATACTCAACAAGAATTTCATATTGAAAAAAAAAGCTTTTCAATTATTGTTTATATAAGTTAATAATTTTTACATAAAATTTATATTTAAAAAAGTTAAAAAATTAAACTATAACTACAAAAAATAAACAGAGGGAGTATATGGAAGAGGACAATCCTTAATATTATGAGATTTAAATTAT